GTCCTCCTTCTTCCTTTCTTCTTTTTTCTTTCTTTCCTCTTTTTCTTTCTTCTCTTTGCTTCCCTGTCCATCCCTTCACTCCCTCCTTCTTGTCGTTCCTTTTTTTTCTTCGTTTCTTCTTTCTTTCTTTCTTTCGTTTCTTTCTTCTTTCTGTTCGTTTCTTTCCTTTCTTTCTTTCCTTTCTCTCCCTTCCTCCTCCCTCCCTCCTTCGCCTCCCTCCCTCCCTCCTTCCTTCTTTCTTTCTTTCGTCTCTCTCTCTCTCTCTCTCTTCTTTCCTTCTTTCTTTCAAGGAAGGAAGGAAGGAAGGAAGGAAGGAAAGAAAAGAAAGAGAACTAAGTTAAGTCTTGGTTGTATGATAATCATAGTTTCAATAGCCACCCATCATTTATCAATCATCTCTAAGTGTCTAGGTACTATGCTGACTGCTTTGTATACTGTTATTTTATACAATCCTCACAACTCTAAGAGACAAGATTTATTATCTGCATTCTACAGATTAGGAAACTGAGGCACAAAGAAGGTTAAGTTCTTGACAAAGATCATGCAGCTTTACAAATGTGGCTGGATTCTCTTCACTTCATAGCTTCTGGTCTTTTTAGTAGTTGGGTATTCTACTTAGTCAATCATTGCACCAGGAAAAAAGACAAATATAGGTAGTGGAAAGAGATTTGATATTTCCAGATTTGATATATTTTTAGATACCTACTCGGAATTAAAGCCAAATTCTTTAAAGATCCTAATTCCTCAGACTTCATTTATCATGTAAAGAAAAAAAATTCAAGTGATTAAACTGCATTGTCACTTGAGCTGATAACTATTGGGTAGCACCAACACACACCCAAACACACCCATAATGTTACCTACATTCAGTTGTGGCATCTCCAGTCAAAGGTTCTCCTTCTCCACTGCTGTAAGTGGCAAATATTGAAATTCTGTATTTGGTCTCTGGCTGCAGATTTTCTATCATAGTATGAATTGCATCTTCAGGAAGATTTTTCTCTCCAGTGTCAACATCATCATAAAGTGATTTCCATGAGATCCTGTAACCGCGAACCATTCCTGGAGCAGATGTCCAATAAGCCCCAATTGATGTGTCAGTGATGTCTTTAGTAACTAAATCTCGAGGAGAACCACGTTCTAGAACAGAAATTAAAAGGGAATCTTTTTAAAAAATATCTAGTAGTTATTTACGTATTAATATTCATTGATCCTGGTAGAGATTCTGACTTGCTGGACTCAAACTCAGTTTGTCTAAAATTGCCCATTTCTTCTTTCTAAGTTGTCCATCCTATTCTGTCAGTGGAATAGATTGATGCAATAAAACTTTAGAATTTTATTTGATTTCTACCTCTTAGCCTTGCCCCCATATGCCTACTTAGATAATCTTATCCTTCAGGACAAGTTTGACATCCAAATTTGAGGAAGTATTTGTCTTTAAAAAAAAAATTCCAAGGGAAAAAAACTGTATCTAAGTCCCAGAATTTTATCACATCTTAGTTGGCCTTGTGGCATGGCCCATTGTTCACAAAGATCTTTATTTTGTTACTATGATCTTTTCCTCTCTGATCTAATTTAAATAAACTCATTTTCAATGCATGATTTACAACAATCGCAACAATCTCATATCACTTACAAAACTTAATTCCAACAACTCTTTCTTGGTAAAACTTGTATTTGCTCATGAAGTTTAAAAAGTAGCAGTGCAAACTTTCAATATAGCTTAACCCTAACAAAACTAAAAACAACCAATTCTTCTGGAAAACTTAAAAGTGATTAGTCACCAAAATAAAACATACCACTTGTTCTAGCTGATCAAAAATGTCTGCTACTAAATTTTGGTTCTTTCATTCAAAAAACATACAACCTAAGTGGAAAAATATGGAAACCTCAACTTAATAGGAGGCACAGATATCTTTCAATAAAACCCTCACTCTCCACATTTTAGATGTAAGATAAATATACAGGTCGCTTTATATTGGCTACCTTTACTAGGCTTTATGCCACAGTATGACATAAATACAAAACTCTCTGCTTCCCAGCATACGTCTTACCAGTAATTGTTGTATGTTCATGCAAATGATATATATTGCTCTTAAAAGAATTTTAAAAACTATTATTTTACTTAACTCAAAGAGTAAAAATGAATATCTTAAAAGTAGTCATAATTTAACAATTAAATTTCAACACAAAAAGTAAAGGTAACAATGAATGAAAAAGAAATCTAGGTGGACAAAATCATATCATATATGCTTGGATTTAGAGGGGAAAAAATAAATGAAACAGAAGCTGGGCAGCCTACCAGACCCCAAGCCCAAATGGAAAATTCTAACTCCATTAAAAATAACTTTAACTGCTGACAGCACATCTCATCCCTGGAAGGAAATTAGTTACATATTTCACTGCAACAAAGAATACTTATTTTTAAGACCACATTGAATTTTTTCCCTCAGCTCTTGAGGCTAATTCCCATTTGAAAGTCTTCTTTAGGTGTCTTTACTATGTAAATGGTCATACACCTTTATTTTTTCTCTACTTGGAACATAAAAGTACAATTTTAAACTGTTTGTTTTATTTGGTTTGGTTGTGGGTTTCTTTGTTTTGTTTTTTATCTGTTTTGATAATCGATATCCCAACAACTAGTCTGTAAGTTTTAAATGTACAGCACGTTTTTTGTTTGCTTGATATACACCATTTTCAATATGTGCCTTTTCTTCTAAATTTCCTCAATTGTAGTCAGGAACAGCTATTGTGAAATGACCTTGTTTGAAAGCAATTTTGCATTTAAATGAGCTGCATTAATGACGTTTCAAAAAAGTATCAGACAAATAAGGTTAACTAGAATGTGGGAATTATCTTTCCAATTAACACTGGGGTGATTTTAAAACAATTTCAACTTTTATTTTTCCCAAAGGTTTTGCTTCTCAACCTATTTTTCTTTCTACAGCGCTAAATTTGTGACATTGTTTATTTCCATGACAACAGACATCAATCTCATAAACACCGGCTAATGATTTCACTGTGAGAAAAATAATAGGAAGAGAATTGTGGTTGAAGCAAAAATACATTCACAAAGATATTTCTGGGCTTAAAACAAAAGGATCTAAGATCACAAGACTTGTCTCCCTATGGATTTTAATCAACTATTTTAACACTCTCAAGACTATAAAGCTAGAACGAAATATTAGTAAAATGCAATGAAGACTTTTCCCAAGGTTTATCAATATTCTAAAAATAATCTACAACAGCAATTTTTAAGATGCAAATTAAAAATCAACTAAAGAATATTTATAAGCTCTAATTAATGGCATGACAACACTATTTTGAGTGAACACTGAGTAAGTTCTCAGTCTCAGAAAAAACTCACTAAAAGTTGTAGTTTCTCTCTGTGGTATATAAAGGCAGGCACTGTCACTACAACATTCCATGTTAGTGACACAGCAACATAGACTCCAAAGAAAGGAGAAAGATAGTTCAATCCAGACACCACAATTGAGAAGATAAGCTGCTTCATATGGGTTTCTTACATGTCAATCAGTCAGTTTGATAAGAATATTCCTAAATATTAAATCTATACTGCTCCCCAAACACATTGATAATTTTTTTTAGGGAGGAGGGCTGACTATTCTATCTGTTACGTTACAACCAGGAATTTTGAGACTAAGTTGTACTCATGACAAGTAAATGTATAGCCCTTGAATTTTTAAAACATGAGATCTTGGTTTGGCCAAACATTATATTACCAAAAAATGAAGCAAGTGGATTGCGCCCTGTGGTACAGTTGGCAGGATGGAAACTGGCAAGTGGCCGAACTTGTCTTGGGGCCAGATGTGCAACCATCTGAGCAGGTCATCAACAGCCTATGTCACCTCCTGGGGCCTTGGGGCCCACAGCAGCAAAATAACTGGACTGGACTTGAATCGATAAACAGAATTGCCTGAAAAACCAAAGGCTGGACCCTACCCAAATCAATTAGATTGGAATACTTGGGGATGCACCTAAGTACTGGTGCTTTCTAAACATCTTTTAAATCTGCCCTGTGATTCCAAAACCTCTACAATTCTTTATTCTTTCCCCCTTTTTGCTCTTCTTTCTACTTCTCCTCTCTGAGGTCTAGAGAAGCATTTATTAGGGAGGTGTGCTGGGTCAGTGTGGGAAGGAACCTCAAATCTGCTTTCACATAGAAGCAGTGCTCCTTCAAAATAAAGACAGGTATGGTGAAAGTAAACTGGTCAAAATCATTACACACATGATGCTCTGTAGGACTGCTGGGTGGTTTGTATTTTGTGTGGTTATATTGCCATGTACAGAAAATCACTGCTTTAGGTGGAAAAATAATCTCAAGGCTGACCCTCAGAGAACAGAGGAGATGATTTAAGCTTTTTATCACATCTCCATGGACACATGTGGGATATTCACTGCTCTCTTCTCCCCTCCATCTTCTCTCAAAAGGAAATGGCTCTGAATACACAGGAAATGACTCTGAAACAGGAAATGGCCTCTTGTTGAAGAGCTAAGCACATTTTCACATGAATGAAGTTCTAAGTGTTACCTAGCAAGGCATTCACTTGGTTCAATACATTGTCATTTTTGTCCTGAATCTAAGGAGCTCCAGACATCAGTAACTACAGGAAGAAATTATCTGACTTGTTTTGGTTTAGTTTGGTTATATTGGGTTTAGGCAAGAGTCCCTTTTTAGAGTACCTAAGAGGGAATAGGAAAGAAAGAGTGAGAAGTAAAGATGTGAGAAGACTAGTCTGTAGGCCATCTCTGGGAGAGGTTACTGCTCCTCAAAAGGAGAAAGCATAGAAACAGTGGCAGTGAACAGAAAGCAACCCTAGTAGACATTTTGCCATGTAGTCACTACCTTTCCCTGAACCTAGATCTACTTTTGCTCTAGCAGAGGCTCCCTCCCTTCTGAGGTCCTCCTCTTTCTTCTGTGCCCTAGGGTTTACAAATATGTGTGTTATGGTGCTGGGATTTGTTTAGGGTTTTTTTGAATAATATTTAGTCTCATACTACTTGCTCTCTTCTGTTCTGGATATATGCCTGTGCTCTCTCTATTAATTTTTTCTCTGGTAATAGAAATTCTGGCAATCATTTCAAACAAGTCATCATCTACAATGATGATATTCCTTTATTCCCATTCCTTTGATTCTATCTTGACAGTTTCCCTTACACTTTATTCTTCCTAGCATAGTACCAGTATAGGTATAAATGTCATAAGTTTAAAGGTATAAAACTCTATCAGGTTTTGAAATTTGGCTACTCAGCATTTCTGTCATTATAAAGCTTAGTTACATCTATTCAAAAGTCATTTTTCTAGTGTGTGCTTGCATGTGTCTCTGTGCTGCTGCTGTGGTAAGTCATTCAGACAGGTCTACTTCTTATGATCTGAACATCCTGAAGGAGTTGATTCCTACACTGCTTTTTTCCACATACAAAGCCAAAGAAATAATGCCTCATTTAAGTAACTTTCCTATGTTTCCTTACCCCTTTTCCATTTTCTTTCTGAAAAGCAAATTATCATCCAATTCAAATATAATTATAACACAAATTAGCCAATGATACATGAAAAATTAATCATCATGAAATAAAACTGTATTTCATCTTATAGATTGTTCCAGCCAGCTTTCATTGAGTTTCATATACCACTTTCAAAAATAGAAGTTAAATTGAAAATGTAATGTAAACTCTCTTCTAAATCAATTTGTCTTTTCCGTTAGAGCTCAGCTCAAAAGTCATCCAACTTTCCACAGCAATACAGAAGATCTGCTTCTGGATAATGTTCATGTGGAAATACATTTGATTTACAACCAATGAATCAGAGCCACCATTCCAAAGGACAAAGTTCACTATTGATAAGTTAACTCAGCTACTTTAAGCTATACACAGTTTTTAAAAACATCTTAGCAATTAAATCACCATTCAACTTCAAAGTTGGCTTGAGCAAAAAAGTGTTTCTTCCATAATTATTACCTCTCCACATTGATTTCAATTTTTATCTGACAAGCAATTAATTCACAGGAAAAGGAAATAGAAATTACTGTTGGTGACTGTGCTAAAGTTCCCTGGCAACGTCAGCGTTATTATACCCAGAATGTATGATTTTTCAAATTATGAGACAGCAGTAAATCAGTGAAAACACAGAGGCCTTGTTTAGTCCATCTTTAAGGGCCTCATGTTACTCAACATCATGCAGAATTCCTGAGATGTGCTAAAAACCTCATTGTAACAAAATGTCAACTGAATACACTTGGTTTGATCTGTAGGAAGCCATTCATATCTAGGACGTTGGCAGGTTGCTACAGCAACTGAAACAAAGGAAATTCTAAAAAGTCATATTTTCCGTAGCCAAAAAAAAAACACTCAAAAATTTAACAAGAAAACATATTATTATCAAACTGAAATTCTCATTCATTTGTGGTAAATCTCTGAATTAAAATGGGCATTATTTATTGAGAGATTTATAAAAACAGATTTTCCTCCAAGCACTAACAGCGGCAATTAAAGGTTCTTTCAAGACTTGAAGTGCGATTACATATACAGTAGTGTTTTTGTAATTATATTGTCTAACTGCTCTAACAACAACAACAACGGGGGAAAAAACAATGTAAATCAAACCTAATGATGTGTGCTCACATTCCTCTGAAGTTTGGATCTGAAATAGTAATAAACTCTGCCTTTGTGACTCTATTGCCTACAGTACTACAGCCAACCATGAACTTCCCCAACGCCAATGCTAATAAATCTCTCTTCCAGCAACAGGGGAATTTTCTGATCATTGGCTGCGTTTCAAAAAAAGTAGTAGGAAACAGATTCAAGTTAGGGACGGTTGTAGACCACACTACATGTTTTTTTAAATACAAAACAACAACAACTTTCTTTCCTTTTGAATTGAGAGTCATAACGCATTTGAAGTGATCTATAAGATGTCCAACCTACAGAATGCTCTTGCCGGCTGACACCATGCCTCTGGATAAAGGAAACATTCCTTCAAGTTCTGCTCTTACCACCTCCTCTCCCAAGAGAAAAACAGATTAGAAAAACAGCAGCCCTCAAAAGCAGTTGCCTGGCTCTGTTTCTGGGCTTTCCACTCCCTGCATTTACCATCATATCCTATTCCTGTATATGGTATGTGGATTTGGCTGAGTTAATACAATAAAATGAAATGGAATAACCAGGGGCAAAAATCTTCTATTATTTTCATTTAGTCACAACTATGCTTTCACATATTTGTCAAGTTTACCACACATAATGCAATGGGATAAATATGTTAACAAAATCAGGCTGGAGGCCCTTTTGTTAATCCTTCACTGCAGTAAAGCGCTTTAGCATAAATGAACAAAATGTCCGTTGTAAATTATTACAATTTAGTTAGGAATTAACTGTATTTTTTAAGCAAGCTTACAAATTATCTAGCTTTCCTTCTTCTCAGGAAATAGAAAACAATAGCTTTTAAAATTTATTTTACTATCTATGTATTTCCCTTAGAGATTGTTTCTGATCAAAGACGCGCGTGTGTGTACACTCGCACATGCGTACAAGTTGATAGATTTTCAATACCACTTGTAAAGAGATATAATATTATAAATAAATTATACATCTGGCTTACAAAAATCACAGCCTAGTAGAATGTGCTTCCTGTAAAATTAAAAAGTACATTTTGTTAAATCCAATTTTTAATATATTATTCTTGGCAAAAAATGCCTTAATTTTTAGAATTGGGAAGATTTTTACTGAGCATAAATATATATATATTTTTTTTTTTAAAGCAAGAAAGCACAAATGAATACGAGAAGGTTAAAAGGCACAACCAGAAGAAAAACTATTAAATTATTTCCAAGATACTCCTTATAAAGAAGAAATGTTCACAAATACAATCTATATCTATCCTGTAAAAAATAAAGAGTGAAAGTTTGTCCTCCAAAAATATCTTATGAGCAACCTATGCTAAAAGCTCGTGGAAAGCATATGGAGAAACAGAACTTCAAAAGGTCCAAAGAAAAGGACAAATTTCTCCAAAATTCTGGATGTTGCCCCAGATTGTAAAGATCACATGCTTTTGTTGTTTGGATTATGTCTGTGTATTTAAGGCAATTTCTGTTTCTACTATTTTTTCCAAAACTTTTGTGTCACCGATTATATTTGAAATACTAAAGCTATACAGTTGACAACATGGGTTTGCACTGTGAGGGTCCACTTACATGCAGATTTATTTCAAGCAAATGCAGACAAAAAATACAGTATTCACAGGATGCAAAACCCATCTATATGCAGAGGCCGACTTTTCATATATACAGGTTCCCTAGGCCCGACTGCAGGACTTCAGTATGAGAGGACTTTGGTATATGCAGCGGATATTGGTATATGCAGGGGTCTTGGAACCAATCCAACCCCCCCAACCCTGAGTATACCAAGAGGCTTTTAGATATCAGATCTAAAGTTAATAAGCTATGTCCTCTTGATGAATTTTGTAGACATACAGTATTTCACAGTTTCCAATGAGTTTCACTTACATTCTCCCGTTTGATCTCAACAATAACTCTGGGAGGAAAGAGGGAGGATAATCATCCTTTCTTTATAGATGAATAAACTAAGGCCCAGAGGGGTTAAAGGTTTACTCCAGGTCACACAGCTAAGTAGTACAACCAGGTCTCTTCTAGTTGTAAGTAATTTACACACTGGTACCTAATCTTTCATTTAAATCTTTTTCTAGAAACAGATTTCATGGACTATGGAAATTTAACTCTTGATCACTATCATTATTATTATTATTTTTTTTTTTTTTTGAGATGGAGTTTCATTCTTGTTGCCCAGCCTGGAGTGCAATGGTACAATCTCAGCTCACTGCAACCTCCTCCTCTCGAGTTCAAGCCATTCTCCTGCCTCAGCTTCCCAAGTGGCTAGGATTACAGGCATGCGCCACCATGCACAGCTGATTTTTGTATTTAGTAGAGACAGGGTTTTACCATGTTGGCCAGGCTGGTCTCAAACTCCTGACCTCAGGTGATCCACCCGCCTCGGTCTCCCAAAGTCCTGGGATTACAGGCGTGAGTCACCATGCCTGGCCGATCACTACTATTTTGATTAGTATTTTTAAATTATTTGTTTTTCATTCTTAAGTCTTGAAGTTTCTAAGAACTGCCTATTGTATGTCCTGTCTCACTAATTACAATATCTACAACCTTCCAAGCTCCTGGATCCAACAGCTTTGATGGATATTTTGCTTAGTCACTGTGATTTCATATTAGAAGATACTTCAGATTCCTTTTCTTCCTATAATCATTTAAAATAAGCCATATAAAATATAATGATAAAGAGAAGGAAAGCTATTGCTGATAGTCCATGTAGGCCCCCAACTATAGGACTGAGTCAACATCATGGGATTTTTAGCATTACAATCCATTCTCATTGCGGTTTAATTAGATGTGTATTTTCTCTCCCTTACAGTATTCATGTAGTAGCTGTGTTAAGTTAAACCTGAGCTGTGATTATATCTCAAAAGATCCTAAAAAATGTAAAGGTCTCTGACAATTAACTCTAAAGAGCCAACGAAACCGCTCCAGTATTGCTGGTGTTTCTTACTAAGTACTTTATCACAATCACTTTGAACATTTAATACAGAACAGAATTTCAGAAATTACGTAGAAAACAAATAGAAACTTGGGTTCTTATATTTCTTGAGCTTTTATGCATGGTAAATGAAAAGAGCACTTGAATGGAAGTCAGAAAATGGTTCCTATCTGGACCAGAAAGATAGAACTAGCTGCATAAACTTGGGCAATCCAAACCTTTTTACATAGACGTTTCCCAAGGTCCCTTCCCCCTCTGAATGTCATACACCTATTCTCCTTTCAACCAACCCAAGGAATTATAAACACATTTCTTTGGCCTTATTATGCATCTAGCTCCCTAAGGCACTTCTTAATCAAGTTTAATTTTTTCAGCTGCTTACATTCTACATCTCTGAATAACAGACAGCTTTATGGTTATTTATTTTTCAATATATATTCTTTTTAAGAGAAAGGATTGCACACTTCTAGATTCATTCTCTGAAAACATTTTAAGCTTCCTAGAGGCAGCACCACAAACAAGTTCCTAGATTTTCAGAAAATATGATGGTAATTACCTTCAAGTGTTGTTCCTTCACCAAAGAGGGCATCTCCAGCCCCAGACGCATACAAGGCTGTCACAGATAAGGCGTATTGTGTCCCTTCCTTCAATCCCCGCAGCACCGTATTGGTTGTATCTCCCCTCACAGTGACCTCTTGAGTTTCACCCCCTGCCACTGGGGTATATGTGACGAGATACTGTTTCACTTTTCCTGGTGCCCCACTCCAAGATAATTTCATAGTAGACGTCGTAGGGTCAGAAACTCTTAAGTCTCTTGGATTCCCTCTAACTTCATTAAAAAATGACAACATCATCAAAACCCATTATTTAATAAAATGACTTGAAAAACATTTCATTACTTTACATACGCATGTGCACTACAACAAATTTATACCCTGGGTGAGACTATGACAAATTTTACTGTTTACTAGCCAACAAAGCTAAATCAGACCCTATATGTTAGTAGAAACAAGGGGAAAGATATCCAGTCCCTTTTCTGTTTTTACAAAGGTTAAAATCTTCCAAGTAAAATATTTCATGTTAGAATATTTCCTATAAGATAGTTTCCCTGTATTTCCTTAAAAGTAGAAGAAAGCATTATAAAATGCATACATGTTGATTAGTATTACAATGCAGACTTTAATTCCTTTAAGAAATCTTCAGTAAAAACAGTTAATCAGTGTAATGCTATGAACATCTAAAGGTAACACCCAGGAACTAATTCTGATATAATAAAAATGATAAATTATAAACATAATGCTGTCCCTAGAGGGAAAAAAGTAAGAGAAAAAAAACAGCTCAGTGAGACCCAGCCTTGGGTACAAATCCCCAGGGACCACCCCATCTTTTTGTAGCTGTGATGTTTGCTATTTCATGACTTTCCTTGTAGATTGGTCATGTCCTCTTTGAAGGTTCCTAAGGAACCGAGTCCTATGTCACTCTCCACTGAGCATATAAAAGCCAGCCAGTTTTACTCCAGAAAATAGAAAGATGAAGAGGTATTGGGTCACATTATGGTGCCCAGCACAAAGAGCCCTAGACTCTCAGCAAGAGAGAAAAACAATGAAGTAGTCACACTTCACCAATGGAAGACAGGAGGAAGAAAGCAGGTAAAAGAGAAAGCCTCTGTAGCAGAACAGACTATTGAGCTAGGTTGCAGGGGTAAGAGAGGAGAGTGAAGCAGTGAAAGGAGGGAAAGAGATGCAGTGGGAGGAGGGAGAGAGATGCAGTGGGACGGAGGGAGAGAGATGCAAAGGGAGGAGGGAGAGGGATGCTGTGGGAGGAAGGTGAGGAGATCAGTGGGGAGACAGATGCAGTGGAAGTAGGGAGAGGGATGCAGTAGGAGTGGGTAGAGTGATGCAGGTGGGAGGAAGCAGTGAGACAGAGAAGGGTGATGCAGACCAAGCTATAATGGATATCCTTGTAAATGTCTGCAGTAGGGCAATAAAATCCATAAATTCAGATTCACCATTATTTAGCGGGTGGTCGGTTCTTGATTTATTTTTAATTTCCCAGCCTTATTCTCTATAAAGCTGAGATGATAATAATACATAATACACTATGCAGGGATTAACAAAATATATGAAAAGCCCTTTGTACAGAACCTGACACCAGACAGGTACTCAGTAACTTTTCATTATTGCTAATGTGTTCTTGGCATTATTATTGCTATTTTAAAACATTAGGAGCTAGGAAATAAATAAAAAAATTATGAATGTCTCATTTTGCCCCCAATGAAAATCACCTATTAAACAATAATAATTTCAACAAACAACATCAGAATATATCCTGGGATCCTAATTCCCATCTAAAGGAAAACAAGTTAATGTTTAAAAATCTTCTTAAGAAGTAAAATACAATCTATTTTCAATGGTGCATAGAAGGTTTGATTTTTAATTTTAGCCATCCTTCCATTCACATTGAAACATTTAATAATATTATTTTTAAAAGAATATTGGAGACTATATCCTAGGCAGTTAAATTCTATTTGACGTGCATGGTGGCTCATGCCTGTAAATCCCAACACACGGGAGCGCAGGCAGCAGATCCCCTGAGGTCAGGAGTTCGACCAGCTGGCAACATGGTGAAACCTGTTTTACTAAAATACAAAATTAGCTGGGTTAGTTGCACGCGCCTGTAATCCCAGGCTTACTGGGAGCTGAGTCAGTCAGGAATCGCTTGACCCAGGGGGAGGGTGAGGTTGCAGTGAGCCAAGCCACTGCACTCCAGCTTGGATGACAGAGGGAGACTCTGTCTCCAAAAAATTAATAAATTAATTAATTAAATTTATCAACACAAGTAAATAATGTCATGATTAAGTAAAAAAAAAAAAATTAAACTTAAGTCTAAAAGGACTATGGTCTAACATACTCAAATAATTGAAACAAAGTGTCTCATGAGTTTTTTATCTGGATAGTTGTCTCAATTTTCCCCTCTAGTCTAAGAGTTTGGTTGTCACCATATGATAAGCATATTTCCTCTACCTTCTTCAGTGGCTGCGTTTCCAGTTAATGGAGAACCAGGTCCCGAGAAATATTCAGGAATTACAGTTACTTCATATTTTGTGTCTGGAATCAAGTTCTCCAGCGTTCTCCTCCTCTGATTGGGTGGGGTGGTAACTTCTCTGCTTTCTCCACCAGCAACTGGTCTATATATAATTCGATATCTTAAAACTCTCCCTGGAGCTTGAGTCCAAGTAATTTTAAAACTATCTGTAGTCTCATCTGTCACCTTTAGGTTTCGAGGTGCTCCTTTTACTGAAATAAAAAAAGAAAAACAGATGTTAAAACATAAATTGACTTTATATGAAAAATACAAAAATTACTTTTTTATTACTAAATTATACCATTTCTCTAAAGAAATCCATGAGCAATTTATTTGCAAACATCCTGGTTTCTGCATTCATTTAGCCAGAGATTAACTAAATTCTGAAATAGCAAATATGAATTCTACAATATCCAGAAAGAAACTAAGTACTGTTAATTTTTTAATTACATAAAGATGTATATAATAGTAAACTTTTAAAATAATAAATATTCTATCAAATGCTAAATTTATACTGCTATAAACTTCAAGAATAAAAACAATTCATTTCTTTGAATATAAGCAGCCAAGACTTTCACTCTTACTACATTTTCTCACGAAACTAGGAAAATAACACCTAACACCCGGCTCTACCATGTCTACCCACCCAACCAAATTGTCTTATCCAGTCAGTCCCACACTAACTTTTTATCTGTACAGTCACTTGACTTGGAGAATAATTGGACCATACACGGGATGGAACAAGCAGAGAATTGGTACCTAATGAATGCTCATTAGATCTACATCTTGAAGCTAAGGTGCACTATGGGTAACACCCACAGACTCATAATTTTAAATGCATTTTTCATTAAGCCCAAATGAGAACATCATTTGGTTTTGTGTTCAGTAAACATGTTTAAATGACCCTCTTGCTCAGTGGGGCCAACTGTCTCTATAGACAATATATTCAGGAAAGATGAACTAAAGGTCTTTGTCTTCTCAGTCCACTGGGGTGAAAGCCTCGTACAACATGCCTGGCATGTGTCACACAGACATTTAGAAGTTTACTTAAATATTCAACACATCAATAGATCACTCCAGGGAGAAAGAAAGGAAGGAAGTATATCTCTCTAGAAGAGAAAGGAAGGAAGTATATCTCTCCAGGAAGGAAAGAAATGGTACTTGGCCAACTTACACCCATGATTCATTTTGTATTGGAAGGAAAAAGATTAAACAAGTCAGAACAAATCAGCAGATAGACTGATGGGTTGGAATCCTAGCTCTGAAGCTTAATAGATATGTAATTCTGAGCCGTAGATTATCCTAGCAGCAAAATATGACTATTTATAGGATTATTTAAGTGGTTAAATGAGATAATCTATGGAAAACATTTAGCAGAGCATCTGACACAAGCAGAAGCTCTATAATTGTTAGCTTAATGAAAGTATTACATTGGAAACTTTCTTACCAACTAAAAAAAATTTAAATCCCAGATTCCATTACAGACAATATAACGGAAAAGACATTACCCAACTCCATTGTAGTAGCCCAATGACCAAAAACTAGAGTGTGTATGAATGGAGTGACTTCTACTCAAAAACCCTGAGACAAGTCCTCTCTTGAGACAGATTTCCCATTCCCCTCCCAAAATGCTGAAGAGAAAGGGTCAGGGTCATTGAGTAGCAGTGTGGGCATTACAGGAAAAGCACCAGAAAGTCAGAAATATCTGAGTATGGCCTTCTCGCTTATATGACCACAAAAGTCATAAGATGAAAGGACTTCTTAGGCCATTTAGTTTATGTGGTGGCCTTCAGGAAGAAATATACGTAAACCATGAAAAAAAAAAGAAAAATAGCAATCTTACCTGAAAAAATGTTTCAGAGAAAAAAGATTCTCTAGCTTTTATCAGTATAGTATGCCAATATGTACCATCCCTGTCAGCAAATACTTCTTTATAACTATCTTAAATTCCTCACACTATTCTCCCAGGGTCTTTACCTCCTATTCCCAGTCAAAAGAGGAAACAACAATTGACATCTATTGTGATACTTTGCTATGCTAATGTTAAAGAATAATTGCCTTGCCTTAGTCTGCCACTAACCAACTTAAATTGGTGCCCTTAAATGTCAAACGTAACAAAGTGTGTCCAAATATATTCAACTCTATCCAGTAAGGAGTACATATGTAAACAAATACTGCTTAAAACATTTGGCAAAATTTGCACACCATGTTCATAGCAGCAATATTCACAAAAAGTAGATGCAGCCCAAATGTCCACTGATGAAGGGAGATAAACAAAATGTGAAGCAGGGCGCCATGGCATATGCCTGTAGTCCCAGCTACTCAGGAGGCTGAGGCAAGAGGATCATTTGAGCCTAGGATTATGAGGCCAACCTGGGTAACATAGTAAGAACCCCATCTTAAAAGATATGTGGTGCATACATACAGTGGAATATTATTCAATCATAAGTAGAGAGGGCATTCTGACACACGCTACAACATGGATCAACCTTGAGGACATTTACGGTGTGAAATAATCCAGGCACAAGACAAGTACTGAAAGAGTCCTCTCAAGTAAGGTAGTTAATCAGAAGGAATTCTGTCTCTAATTCCTAGAGACAGAAAATAGAATGGTGGTTTCCAGGAGTAGAGGGAAGGAGGGAATGGGGAGTTATTCCTTAATGAGTACAGAATTTCAGTTTCACAAGTTCTAAAGATGGATGGTGGCGATGGTAGCACAACAAGGTGAATGTACTTAATGCCACTAAAATGTGCACTCAAAAAATGGTTAAAATGGTAAATACGTTATGTATACTTTAGTACAACTTTTTAAAAGAATATAATTAATTGATAATATACTTATTACCAACATATATACGTGTGTGTGTATATATATAGATTTGCCATAACTCCGTAAGTACAGTAAACAATTTCAGAAAGATTTAAGACATGACATTCCTGAAATGTGGGACCAAAAATGATGGATAAGCAGTATTTCAAAAGTTAATTCCATAATTATCAATAGTTCTCTAGGTCTCTTAACTTCAACTTCATCAAAAGAATTCTAAGGTTTTTTACTTAAAAGTTATTTTTCTCTTTCTAAAAAGATTTATGAAAAACTGTCTTTAAAAGATGCCAAATCTTACAAAGGCATTGGCAATTCTGAACTATAAAGCAGATGGTTATTAACTTTGTACTGCAATAAATTATTCATTTTTGAAAAACAGTAGCAGAAACCCCCATCACACCTTCTTCGGTGGTCTCCTCTCCAGCTAAGGGAATGCTGAAGCCATCCTCATACTCCGCAGTCACATTGACCAAATACAGGGTCTCTGGCTTCAGGTTGCTGAGAACAACACTGGTGCTCGATGCTGGCTCCACCACAGTGACCTCGTCAACCCCAGTCGCTTCCTTGTAGGTGATGTGATATGAAAAAACATTTTCTCCAGCTGGAGACCAGTTGGTTTTGAAACCATAAGAAGTCACTTCTGAAAAACTAAGATCCTTTGGAGGGACGTAAGCTATTTAAAAAAAAAAAAAAAGTTAAAAATGTTTGAATCTATAAAACAAAACCGTAACCAATATTTAAATGTTTATAAAATGGGTTATATTAATTTGGGAGAATGGTGCTCATTGAGACCACTGTACTGAGTACCTCATCTACATTTGACCATTGAGAGACAGCCCACCCCCCAACTTACAACCCAACAAGAGATCTTGATTATTCACCTTGACTATCCATAATACTAACTTCTGCTATTTAAATGAGTGATGAAATTTGAATGTGAATTTTGAGATTCTTAAAGCAGTAGCAATAGAATGGCCTTGCCCACAACTGGAATATTTAAACCATAGCAGACCAAAAATGAACCATCCACATTTTCCCATTCATCCCTGGTACTTGGATATTAACCTTTGGTGGTTTTCAGACAAATATTTCAAAGTAAAAATTAAGGAATTTTTCCCAACAACAAAATGTTTATTAAACTAAGCAGTTATTAAACCAAATCATAGAAAGAGACAATATTTAACACATACAGTATATCCTTAGGGGGCACACAATCAAAATGGAGAAACGAGACAATGCAACATTATTAACAATCATAAAAAAAAAAAAAAGCAGGAAGGTCGTGGGGGCTAATGCCTATAATCTCAGCACTTTGGGAGAATGAGGTGGGTGGATCACCTGAGGTCAGGAGTTCAAGACCAGATTGGCCAACATGATGAAACCCCGTCTTTACAAAAAAGAAAAATTAGCTAGGCATGGTGGCATACTCCTGTAGTTCCAGCTACTGGGGAGGCTGAGGTGCAAGAATTGGTTGAACTGGGGAGGCAGATATTGCAACGAGCATAGGTTGCACCACTGCACTCCAGCCTGGATGACAGAGTGAGACCCTGTCTCAAAAAAAAAAAAAAAAAAAAAAAAAAAGCAGTACATAGGAAAGCCAACTGATGAAAGTGATAGCATGATAGTGCTAAGACAGTTACAGTTGAGGAAGGCTTCATGAAAAGGATGGGACTTTTTTATTATTATTATACTTTGAGTTCTGGGGTACATGTGCAGAACATGCAGGTTTGTTACATAGGTATAAACGTGCCATGGTGGTTTGCTGCACCCATCAACTGGTCATCTACATTAGGTATTTCTTCTAATGCCATCCCTCCCCCAGCCCTCCCAACAGGTCCCGGTGTGTGATGCCCCCACCCCCGTGTCCATGTGTTCTCATTGTTCAACTCCCACATATGAGTGAGAACATGCAGTGTTCGGTTTTCTGTTCTTGTGTTAGTTTGCTGAGAATGATGGTTTCCAGCTTCATCCACGTCCCTGAAAAGGACATTAAACTCAAGGGATGGGACTTTTAATTAAACATCGAAAAGTAGATCAGGCAAATGAAGAAAATTCCAGATGTGACAAACGATGCCCAAAATGATCCAGGAAATGCATAAAAAGAATCCAAAGGTGCAGGACTATATTCTCATCACCTTTGAGTTGAAGGACCCAGCTCAGTATCCAGCACATAGTGAACACCCCATACTTGGGACTTGGATTCTAAATGACACATACATATGATAAAACTTGTTCCTAAACCTGCTTGAGGATCTAGGAACAGAAACATCTCATGACTCTTATGAGTAAACAGCTTTTTCACCAACCAAAATATGAACAATACCCAGGAGAAAGTCATATCTCAGAGCTAAGTAAACTAAGTTCAATAGTTTTCAATAACGTAGAAAAGTTACTTTTTCTTGTCTATAAAAAGAATTGAAGAAGCACATAATCCACAATTTTAGAAACCAAAATGCTTTGTTCATGAAGAAATAACTTTTACTCTCAAAGTCTACTAACCTTTCTTCTTTATAGCTGCCAATTCTTGCTCAATTCTAAGGCAGATAGACTGTGTGAGTTCAAAAGATATCCTCTGAAAAGCATCAAAATCTTCCACTGTGAACACATGGGTCTCTGCGGGAGGAGAGGCAATAGCTTCTAATTCTGAGCGAACAGCATCTTTCACACCAACTGCGAAGATTTCAACATCTGAATTCCTCAGTTTTATCGCAGGATCTCTGAAAGCATCTGATGATTTCCCATCCGTGATAAGAATCATGACCTTCGGCACATTGCTTCTTGATCCCTTGCTAGGCACAAATATTTTCTCTCTGACATAAGTCATTGCTTTGCCAGTATTTGTAGATCCTCCTCTGTAAGGGAAGGTGTTTATGGCTTCAATTATATCTTCCACTTTGGTGAATTTTTTCAAAGTGAACTCAGTATGAGGATCCCGGCTGTATTGGACAAGACTAATCTGGACCCTATTTGGTGAAATTTCAAAACTTTTTACAAGAACTTCCAAAAAGGCTCTAACTTTAACAAAGTTTGCAATCCCAATGCTATAGGAGCCATCAACCAAAAACACAATATCGGCTTTTATATCCACACCACGTGAGCATTCTGTAAAGAGAAAAAAAGTACATTAAACTTCAATACATATTCATCATTAAAATATACATATCTAGCTTGCTTAGTAAGCATGCTTCTTAAAAAAAAAAAAAAAACTACTGCAAATATTTCATTCAAAACTAAGTCCTAACAAGTAAGGCATTCTGTCAAACAGACCTTCACATATTCCAAACACATGATGCACACATTAACTCACCCACTTGTACTTTCATTGGCTGAGTCTTCTCCATTATTGAGATGGGTTCACTGGATGTCATTCCCTTCATGGCAGAAACACTGATCTGGTATTCTGTGTCTGCTGAGAGGTCACGAACACTGAGCGTGGTTGTCTGAGGCCCCACACTCAGAGCGTGCTGTCGGCTTCCTGCTGTCATTGGTGTGAGGATGACTTTGTAGCCAGTCACTGGACTAGCAGATGGATTCCAACTTAGCTTAACATATTTTGAAGAGACTTCCACGGCAATCAAATTTGAAGGAGGCTCAACAACTAAAAAGTTACAAGCAGACAGTGATTAATAACAGTGAAATGTAACCTTATTAATTTGGTCTTTAGGTTTGGACCTTCAAATCTCCTTATTCAAATTAATCCTGAATACATTGAAAAGAGTTGCCCAATACCCTCCTCAGTCTCCAATTTCACATGTCCCTATCAAACCAAAAGTGGCTCGACACTTGGCTTTTAGTCAAATTGCTGAGAAGTTAATGGAATAAGAAAGTATTTGGAAGAAATTAATGTTGGGACACCTCAGGCCTAATTCTTCTCTGAAACCAAGATTTCCATTCTGGTTTTAGTATTCACTCATTGTCTTCATTCTCAAGTACCAAAGTAGGCACTTGATAAATATTTGTTAAATCAATGCTTCATTCAATTCTTTATGGAATTTTTCTCTCTTAATGACATCATAAAAGTGGAATCTTTAAAAGATACTTTATAATATGCCAAGAAAGATAAAGCATTTAGTAGTTCTTAAATGACAAGTTCTTATAATTTTAAACAATTTTATTTTCACTAGTTTCAGGGTAAGAAAAAAAGTTCAACTATGTTCACAGTGCCACCAAACAGAGGGGAAACAATGACTTATAACATGCATATTGACACACACATATCAATCCTCTAAAAAATGGTGATCCTTACTCAACATAGAACATAGTCATGCATTTGACTATTAATATAAAGTATTTTAAGATATTTCAGACGATATCAAAATTCTGGATTTGTCAATGGAATCAACTTCCCAGAAGATATAGTTCTAAGTTTTTACAAATCAACCTGCAAAAAGTGTGTGTAAAAAGGCCCAAATTTACACATCACCTTCTCAAAAAAAAATCAGATGTAGCACACAAAAATGATGTTTATACTGAATAGGCAAAAGCTGGAAGCATTTCTCTTGAAAACTAGCACAAGATGAGGTTGCCCTCTCTCAACACTCCTGTTCAACATAGGATTGGAAGTTCTGGCCAGAGCAATCAAGCAAGAAAAAGAAAGAAAAAGCATCCGAATATAAAGAAAGGAAGTCAAACTACCCCTGTTTGCAGATGACATAATCCCTCTAGAAAACTGCATAGTCTCAGCCAAAAAGCTTATTAAGTTGATAAACAACTTTAGCAAAGTCTCAGGATATAAAATCAATGTGCAAAAATTGCTAGCATTCCTATACACAACAACAGTCAAGTTGAGAGCCAAATCAGGAACGAACTCCCATTCACAATGGGAGTTGTGAATAATAGAATAAAATACCTAAGAATACAGCCATCTAGTTAGGTGAAAGATCTCTACAAGAGGAACTACAAACCACTGCTCAAAGAAATCAGAGATGACAATGGAAAACATTCCATGCTCATAAATAGAAAGAATCAATATCATTAAAATGGCCATACTGCCAAAAGCAATCTATAGATTGACCGCTATTCCTAATAAACTACCATTGAGATTCTTCACAGAACTAGAAACAAGTATTTTAAATTTCATATGGAACAAAAAAGAATCTGAATATCTGAGGCAATCCTAAGCAGAAAGAACAAAGCTGGAGGTGTCACGCTATCTGACTTCAAACTATATTACAGGGCTGTGGTAACCAAAACAGCATAGTACTGGTACAAAAACAGACATCTAGACCAATGGTACAGAATAGAGAATCCAGAAGTAAGACTGAACACCTACAACCATCTGATCTTAAACAACCCTGACAAAAACAAGCAATGGGGAAAGGACTCCCTATTCAATAAATTGTGCCCAGATAACTGGCTAGCCATATGCAGAAGATTGAATCTGGACCCCTTCCTTACACCATATAAAAAAAATTAACTCAAGATGGACTAAAGACTTAAATGCAAGACCCAAAACTGTCAAAATCCTGGAAAACAACTAGGCAATACCATTCAGGACATAGATTTCATGACAAAGATGCCAAAAGCAATTGCAACGAAAACAAAAATTGACAAATGGGATCTAATTAAACTAAAGAGTTTCTACACAGCAAAAGAAACTCAAAAGAAACTACCAACAGAGTAAACAGACAACATACAAAATGGGAGAAAATTTTTGCAAACTATGCATCCAACAAAGGTCTAATATCCAGCATCTATAAGGAACATAAACAAATTTACAAGAAAACAACACACAGCCCCATTAAAAAGTGGGCAAAGGACATAAACAGACACTTTTCAAAAGAAGACATCCATGTGGTCAACAATAATACAAAAAAAAGTTCAACATCACTGATTATTAGAGAAACGCAAATCAAAACCACAATGAGACACCATCTCACACCAGTCAGAATGGCTACTATTAAAAAGTCAAAAAATAACAAATGCTGGTGAGGTACTGGAGAAAAAGGAACGCCTATATACTGTTGGTAGGAGTGTAAATTAGTTCAACCATTGTGGAAGACAGTGCAACAATTCCTCAAAGAACTAAGAACAGAAACACCATTTGACCCAGCAATCCCATTACTGGGTATATACCCAAGGAATATAAATCATCCTATTATAAAGATACATGCACGTGTATATCCACTGCAGCACTATTCACAATATCAAAGACTTGGAATTAACAAAAAACCCCATCAATGATAGACTGGATAAGGAAAATGTGGGACATGTATACCATGGAATACTATACAGCTATGAAAAAGAATAAGACCATGTCCTCTGCAGGGACATGGATAGAACTAGAGGCCATTATCCTTAGCAAACTAACACAGGAACAGAAAACCAAATACCACATGTTCTTGCTTATAACTGGGGGCTAAATGATGAGAACACATGGATACATAGAGAGAAACAACACACACATTGGGGCCTATTGGAGGGTTGAAGGTAGAAGGAGGGAAAGTATCAGGAAAAATAACTAATAGGTACTAGGCTTAATACCTGGGTAACGAAATGATCTGTACAACAAACCCCCCTGAAACAAGTTTATCTATGTAACAAACCTGTACATGTATCCCTGAACTTAAAAGTTTAAAAAATGAAAATAATTTTAAATACATATATATATTTAAAAATTATGTTTCCGTAAAAAGTAGTAGGAGGGAAGCCACAGAGATGCCACATGGAAATTTGGCCAAACCTAAGGGATACAGAGGCAGTCCAGGCTAGTCCAGCAGAAGAGAAGCCTCAGGTTAGTCCAGCAGAAGAGAAAAGACACTAAAGAGAAATGTGAACACCTGTGATGCAGCCCCAGCCCCCTCCTACACAGGGAAAGTTCCAACAGTGGCAGCAAAAAAGTTTGGCCTACCCTTGCATACATGCAACTGCACCCCAGGAAGAATTAAACTGTTTAAAAGATTGAGTAGAGAGAAATAATCAGAGAAAAGTAGAGGTGAATGAGATGGATTTTATAATAATACAAAGCAAAAAGGATGGACATTAGACAGTAAAACAAAGGAACAGATTGAGAGCCCATGAAGTAATGAGAGGTTCTGAGACAGAATTAGGACCAATGAACATTTTGACAAAATGTTGAGATTGAAGATTAAAGAGTTTGTATGACTGAAGATGTCGCTATTTAGAATTTATGTTTAATCACTTAATGATTCTCAGGCTGAGAGGAGAACAATGATGGAAAAATATAAAGGCTTAAGGTTGTTATTTTTAATGTTCAAAAGGATACTTTTGAAATGTCTCTTCTTTCTCCCATGTATTTAGAAGTAATAACTAATAGAAATGAGAGAACTTTCTAATGGAAGGATCACATTGACTGACCTTTGAAATATTCTTAAAAGCTTTCAAAACATTACACAGAGTATAATGATAGAAAACCCTTGTCCTTAGCCAGTTAACAGAAACATTTTTATTATTTTAAGTTGCAAATGTCTTTCCAGCCCATCAACGTTTAAATCAGAGTGCAAGATAATTAAAGCAAGTACCATAATAGCATAATCAGACAGACATTCAACGTACACAAAAGAGTCTTAAACAAAAGAGTAAATCATAACTTGTCACTCCCAAAAAAAATTTTAAGAACTTTGCAATGATACATTTTATTGAATGTTCCACTGGAAGGAAAAACAATGCAAATGGTATCAACAAGTTGAGTTGCTAAAAAACAATGCAAATGGAGTATACAATTGGAGAATCACTGGAAGAAATATTTAAGTATGTCTACTTCTAAGATAACTATAAAACTATAAATACTCAAACAATGGAAAAGACTAACACATGGGGAATACTACACAGTCTACTCACCTTCTTCTCCACTAACCAATTCGCCAAGTTGTTCATCAACACCTGAGCACACCTGGGAGATGATCTCATTCTGAATATCCACGATTGCATCAAAGTTGGCCACATTGAAAACATGGTTCAGTGAAGGTGTGGAGGCAATTTGTTTGAGTTCTTTTGCATCTGCAGCTTTAATGCCTTTGAAACAAAAGGATAAGGACATATTGAAATGGGAAATGTGCCAATTGACTTGGAGGAGTTCTTCGTTTTCTCTGTCTTTCACAACTGAAGACATATTCAAATCATTATTAAGTCATAAGCCAGATTGCTTTGCTTCATAACGAATGTGCAACTGCGCAGATGACAAAAACATTTTGTAATTTGACATAGAGTGGCCAGCCAAAGAGGAAAACAAATGGTTAGTTAAACAGAGTGGGCTTTCATCCCAACCATACCATCATATGTCTTTGCCATCTGTAAAGATAATACTTTTTTCTTCCAGAGTCCTGAATAAGCTGGAGCCCTCTGAATTCTTCAAGTATCACATAATATAGGAAACACATAAAAAGCACTTAATGATAACACAAGGAGGATCTTTATTAGAATCATTGGTCCAGCATTCTTTGAAAAGTAGAGAGCTGGCAAAGAATGTGAATACCACCTTCCTAAATACATATGCTAAGGGAGTTATATAAGGGAAATAGATAAGCAGAATTTTTACTTAAAGACAATTTAAGTCTTTAATATTACACTATAAAAATGCAGTAAACACTTCTAATAGCATCCTTCCTTAAGGAATCAATATTTCATCTTCCTAAACATTAAGCATACTGCAGGAGTTGTAAAATGGAAATAATTAACTGAACTTAACCTACCCAAGGAGAAAACTTCAACTCCAACATTACGAAGCTCTCTTGCTGGAATTTCCACTTCATCCTGGGATTTTCCATCCGTTATAATAATTGCCACTTTAGGAAAGCCAACTCTTGCCCCAGCAGATTCCGTGAAAGTATTTTTAACTAAATAATCAATGGCATCCCCTAAAGGAAAAAGAAACATGTTCATTTACTCTGTACTACACAATTTTTCCAAAGTCAAAAACTATGCGAATAATGTCAAAAATATTTAATATGTAATAGGCAATGCGTCATTTCTTTCTGAAACAGACATTTCATTTATTTTTAACTTTAAAGAAATCTGTAGAACATACCTGTCATTGTGTTGCCACCTTTATATGGAATTTTTTTTATTGCAGCAAGAAGCTCATCCCTTTGGTAGTACTGATTTAAGTTAAATTCAGTCCTGGTATCAGAGCTGTACTGAACAACTCCAACTCTTGTCTTCTCTTCCCCAATATCAAAAGCAGACACAAGAGCAGCAATAAAGTCTAAAATGTACTTGAAATTATTTCTTCCCACACTCCAAGAGCCATCCACAAGGAAAATCAGATCAGTCCAGGCACTGACAGAGCATTCTGTAATACATTTGATATCTTTTTAAATGATGCTTTATTAAATCAGCTCATCAATACACGCTAACATTGCAAGAATGTCAGCTCCTTAAATCATTCTGTTCATTAGAACATATTCACCTATTGTTCTTCACCCACATGCACAAACGAATATACAGTTTTACTAACAACACATAGAAGCATTTTCAATGCCTTTATCAAGATGAATTCATGGAACTAGATGTCTTTAAATTGCTATATAAGACATTGTACAAAAAGAGACAAACAGATCTATAACCTGCTCTCCAGGGGCATAAAGTCCAAGTATTCGTGCTATCAACCTATCCATTTTTATAAACTATACCCTCACTCTTCTTTACAAGTCCAAATTTTATAAAACATTAGGAGTCACACAAAAGAAATACAAGCAAAGGGTTTTTATTCCTTGGTATTTATCAACAAATAAATACAAAATAATTGCTGCACCATTCAAGGAAGTGCAGTTGAGTTGAAGACCTAATTTGTTAATATTCTATTGCACTTTTCAATATAATTATCTAAAGTTTGTATTAGGGTTAGTCTAGAGGGCTAAGGGAGCCTAACAGAAGTAAAAACAAGCATAAAATTATGCAAAATAGCCAAAATATCTAGTCCTAATTATCAATATATTTAAATTCGACAATTAAAACCTACTTTTAGTGAACAAAGAGGGTAAACAATTATTTTTATTCAAAAGTTAAAAATCCATGTGGTATTCTGAAATTATCAGAATACAATGATCAGCTTTTATAACTGAATATGTTATCTTTTCTTCTTTCTATGGTAGAGGTCAAGTTGGTTTTATGAAAATCTGTATTTGTAATGCAATACCAAGTGAATTTTCTGAAGATGACTTTGTCCTTGCAGTCAGTTGGTAGGTAATAAAAGAAGTATTTGGCTAGGAAGAGAAGGAGAGGGTGCTGGAAAATTTTGCAAGCCAAATACAAGTTGTATTCTTAAATAAGTTTTGCACACTATTTAATAGGTCAGTTCAAGTCTATTAAAAAGTCAATACTTGGCATAATACTTCAATTTAAAATCAGTACTAATTGTTAAAAATATTAGCATCTGAAATAATGATAAACAGTGGTCTGGAGGGAATATTTCCAGATAAAGAGACCTTTATGTTTATAATCTTTTTATTGTCATTCTAGGTCATAAATCCAAGTTTTAGAAGGTGACAAAATTAGAAGTCCAAGAAACCCCTTAAGGATCTATCCCCATAAGTCAGACAAAGCAATATAAGACAAAAGGAGGCTAATAACTGCAAGATCTAGACTAAATAAAATTGCTTTCATCTGATTACAAATGCACCAATTTATAAGAGGTGTGTTATAGAGACTCTGAAAAAGGTTACAACTTTTTCAACTAAGGCCATGTAAATAACCTAGAGAGGAGCATAACATACACATAGACTTAGAAAAGTATTTTCATGACAATTGTATTGCTTTGAACACTAGCTGAGGGCATCTCTCTCATGTTCCAGCCTTGTATTTCTCATATATTCCTAAGTACCACCTACTGCTATCAGTTTGTCTTTGAGAAACGAGCTGAGTCCTGAAATATGCTTTGTTTTCACCTATTGCCAAAATCCTGCAGGAAAGGTTGAACACACACAATTTCAAACTCTCCCATTGAAAAGAATATCTAGTAAATAGAATGAAAAACTGGCTAGAATGTCAGAACTTAGGTTATAATGGCTTAGTTATACATTATTCTTATATTGTCTGTGCTCCTTCTAGATAAAGCTTATAGAAATTAATATAGGAATAAGATCAATCTATATATATAACTGGAACATTTGTTCTATCCTACATTTATTACTTCCATGAATCTAAGCAAAAATAGTACGAGAAACACTCACTTTGTATCTCGGTTTTTCCAGGTTTCTTCTCCACTGGCTTTGTCGAACTACCTGTTTGAACTAAGTTAAAACTTTATTATTACAAAAGGAAATGAACGCAAGCAGACATTCTCTTTAAAATAGAATAAATATATTATGTTAGTTTTTGCTATTGTCTCTTAAAAGTATGGCCCTGCCCAGCTGGTCAGAGAATACTGCCAGATAATCATTCCCTTGCAAGTAAGTTATTTTAGTGATATCTTTGAGATATTTCAAAAAGATATTCACATTGTTGTCCAGCAAAGTTTAACATTTTTAATGGTCTTCATTTATAACATTCCTGCTGTTTCCAGAGACCAGAGTTATAAATCAGGAATGAATTATTCATGTCCACTAATAACTAGGATAACAGAAAAAATAGTTAGTACTGGTATAAATTAACTCTGTATCACAAGAGATTAAATCTGAAGTAGGAAAACCTTTCTGCAAAATAAAAAGGACACAAGTATTTTAATTTATATGTATGCTTACTTGTTAGTTGTCCTATAACTGGTACACTTTCTTCTACTTCATCATATGAAGTTATTGTCACCACATACTCTGTTTCAGGTACAAGTTCTGACAATAAAGTTTCAGTGGTACTAGCTGCAAGGGTAAATTCTTTAGTAGGCCCATCTGGAAATACAAAAAGGAAAAATATGAATGCAAGAAAACATTTTTCACATATAACACAACACAATATACTGTAATTCCCAGAAGTACTCAAAATCTGAAAAATTCAATATATACATTTTTTTCAGGACATTCAAACATTATTTTTTTTACTGCCTTCCAAAACTAAAATTTTGAATTTTAGAAATTTAATAAATGGACTGGTATTTCTTTTGTTACAATCATATTTGATACTTGTTTGAGAATTCAAGACTTTTCTAGTTTAAAGGTATACCAGAATATCAAACTAAAAATCTATCATTGGTTTTGGAGACTAATGGGAGATAACAGTTTTATAAATGCAAAGAAAAAGAATTTAATTTTAAATTATGCATTGGAGGACAGCAGAGAGAGAGAAATAAGAAATGAAAATAAACTCAAGGAAAACAAACCCCAGAGGTTAAGACCAATCTCTAGTAGGAAATCTGTGCAGAAGCAGTGCATATTCCATTCTCAAATGGCCACATGCCTTAATGGGTAACATTGACCTCTGCATTGACTTAAGCAGGTATCAAATATTTCAAGGTCCAGTATACTAGGTGTTTACTTATATTTTGGCAATTATGTACTCCCTTCTAGATTCTGTTAATTCTCAATTCAATCAGGAAACATGGTGGTTCCTGGGAATGACGTGTCTGATGATATTTTTAATTATATTGTTTTCGTCAAAATATAAATAATTAGAAAAGATAACAGGTACAATAGACCACTGAAAAATGCTCTTGGTTTGCAGGTGGAATATGCAAAACCAACCAAGATCCCCAGAGGACATCAAGACACTCAGACTCTGCCAGGTTGGGTAGTCCCAGTGCCAGTTTTGGAATTGCTGGGTGTCAGTTATTCCCAACATCTGGAAACTGGATGGACCCTGTTAGAACTGATTTTCTGCTTTGGAATGAATAAGGTAACTGCAAATATATTTGGGGAGAAAGATTCAAAGAGAAAAAAGTAAATTTTTGACTCCTTTTTAAGTTTTTAAATCATCTTTTTTAAAAAAGCTATATTTCCTGGTAAATCGATATGTAAAATCATTAATATTTTTAAAGGCTAAAAGATAAATAAACACAGTTCTAGTAATAATCTGTATTGACATCTTCCATCTCTACTGTCAGCCAGTCAAGACTTCTTCTTACCATTTAGCCAATGTTAGTAGAAATGGTCATTTTCTCATTCCACTTTAGAACTAAAAATTAATCAATAGAGTTTGGTTCTCCACATTTTGGCAACATTATTAACACTAAAGACAATGCTTGAGAACAAGCAAAACAAGTTTTGTTTTCCAAGGATTCAGCCTAGTGTCTACAGAATCCACCTAGCCAAAGTAAATTCTTATCTGTCATCATGGTTGTTTATCATTATCACAGAATGATGTTTCCTGGATGCTGAAATGTGTAGGACACTGGGTAAGGTGTAACAACGTACTTCATCAGCTGATACTTTAAATGCTGAAAAGATTAAGTAATTCAAGAAGAATGCCAAGGAACAAGGATTTGATTTTATAAGATCAAAGATTACTAACAATATTTTGATCAGGTAAAAATAGAGTAAAATTTTAATAAGAACAGCCTACCACAGCAAAACATGTTATACTCAATAACATTAAAATATAATAGTGGATACTAGGCTGGAAATCTGAAACCTGAGTTCAGCAAATGTCTGGTGACATGGATCAAATCCCTCAGGCTTCCTAAAGCTCAGCTTCTTCATGATGAAATGGGAGAAGAGGTGGAGATTGAATTATATCATCTTGATGCTTCTGTCCTAAAACTCCAGTCTCAAAACTTACCTGTTGTAGGGTCCACCGTTATTCTGTAACCCACAATTGGATCAACTGGTTTTGCCCATGACATATGAACAGTATTTTCATCTATAATTTTAAAATTCAAGTCTGAAGGTGGGTCAACTGCAAAAGAGAGAGTTTATATTATTAAGGTTTTCAATGTCACAAAATGGTCAATTTAATTAACAAAGAATTGTGTTAAGCAAAGCTTTCTAAAATTGTCTTTGCATAAATTTGTTTCCAACAAATATAAAAGATATGTTGTTGGATAAGAATAAAACTAAAAGCTGACAAAACATCAGAGAGTATACATATTACAGAAGACAGCACGAAACACTTTTGATTCTTGAGTTGCTAGGTCATTCAAGAATGGCCAGCAAAATCAAGCATAATAGAAACATATTTGGATACAAATACATACAAGTACAATGAAATCACATATAATAACCACATATGCAAACAATTCACATAACAATTAAAGGAATTTTGATACATGCTGAGTGCATTTTGAACAAGCATGCTAAATCACAACCTGCTTACAACCAGAGAAGTTAATTCAAAACATTGACATAATACGTTTTTTCCCATAATATGGACAAGAATCAATGATGATTTTGGTTCATTCTCTGCATTATTTGCCTTGTAATTATTCATTGTTATTTGATAAATCTCAATATGTAGCAGAGATGAAAAATATATTTTAATGAAAATGAGGAATCATGGGAAACAGTTATATCTGACAAGGAAATATACATTTAAATGTATATTCATATTCATAGGCAAGTATTCAAAAATAAGTGATGTTAATAATTTGTAGGTATATAAATAGTGATATTCAAAAGTTTATAAAACTAATATTCTGCCTGTTTACACCAGCTTGCTGAATGTTCCAGGGTGTAAACCAACACTATTATTTCCTTTGCAGCAGGTATACTCCATACTAGAAAGGGCATTTTAGATTAAAATGCCAGTATGGTCCTTTACAAAACAATGGTTAATTATGAAAAGACAACATCAATGTATATTTATGGACATTTATTTACAGAACTTAAAGAAAACAGTGAAGAAGGATCAGTGATCTGAAGACATGACTGCGCATAAAAACTTGGAAAAGTCAATGACAGGAATAACTGAAAAGTACAGAAAGAAATAGTTTACATACAAAACTGTACAGTATCATGCATGTGTCAATGAAATGTTGACTTGTTTTTAGTTTCCCACAATGAACAAAAGCCTCCATGTACAGTAGTCATTACACAAAGACGTTTCCTAAATATTTTATAATGATATTCTCTCTACAATGTTCATGCCTCATCATGCAGCATTGTACTGACTCACTGTCAGTGCATGGTTGATGAATTAAAAAGTATTACTCTTGAAACAGGTCAACGAATTAAGATGACTTTCAGCCACACTCTTCTTAAAATGTTTTAGTCTGAAAGTATTCCTTGTGAGTCAGAATTTTTGCATCTGTTTTGAGAGATTACAATTTCCTTTTAGGTTTTTCCAAAGGTCAATTAAAATACACTAGTAGCCTTGAGACATGAGTCACAGAATTTAACTGGGGTTAAAGATTTATGTAATATTAATAACATGTTTTAATGGAAATAATTAAGCAAACATTTGCTTTAGTGGACTGCTGCCTCCAACTATAGGAAATGGCTTTTTATTTTTATTGGATACACTAGTATTGGAATGAATGTTATATTCTTACTATCCATACACAGGCAGTGAGATTAGACTATTAATCTACATGCATAGTTTAATTACTCAACATTCTTCGGTCTTTAATCATATTTTGAGGTTTAGCTGTACTCATCACTTAGTATAGCATGCATGCAACAGATGTTAATAGGACAACGGGCATTAAGAATATCATTATAAAATATTGTTCCAATAGCAATGGCTCAGGACAAATTTAATGCAAAGGCAGACACAACTGGCCTGAGCATGCTTTTAAAAAAAATCAGTACATGGAAAAACAGTACCACCAACCTTGGAAGGAAAATGACCTGAAGCAGCGGACACTAGGTTAAAACTGCTGAAGGGCAGCAGCGGCCCCCCTTGTTGATATCCAAATGACCAGGATTCCAGATAAACTGAAAAATTGACTGTGGGGAAAAGTCTTTAACATTTCAGAGGATCTTGAGGTGTTCATAGAAACTGCGGTATGTGGGAATCAAAGTAGGAAAGAATGGCCAACCCGCATGGGTACAACAGAGAGCCTGCTTCACTTTTCTTCTGGCCAATTTTATTGCATATACAGCTTTTCAGGCTTGCCATTCTATTTGTACATTTGTTTGTTTTGTTTCATGAAAAAATAATAATAAAGCAGATGTGAGTGTATGACCCATGTTAACATAAATCAATGCTAAAAAATGTACGTTATTAATTTTGAAATATTTTCTTTTACATAAAAATAATTCATAAACACCATCACATATCACAGAGTCTAAGTGTTCCCTAAGACAATGCTGATAATGCTGATGCTGGAAATTTTCTGTTTTTGTTTGTTTGTTTGTTTTTGTTTGTTTATTTGTTTGTTTTGAGACGGGGTTTTGCTCTTGTTGCCCAGGCTGGAGGAGTGCAGTGGTACAACCTTGGCTCACCACACCCTCAGCCTCCCGGGTTCAAGCGATTCTCCTGCCTCAGCCTCCTGAGTAGCTGGGATTACAGGCGAGCTCTACCGTGTCTGGCTAATTTTGTATTTTTACTAGAGATGGGGTTTCTCCATGTTGGTCAGGCTGCTCTTGAAGTCTCGACCTCAGGTAATCCGCCCACCTTAGCCTCCCACAGTGCTGGGATTATAGGCATGAGCCACCATTCCCAGCCCAGAAATTTTCAATTATGTACTAGCTGCATATGGATTATAATTACAAAGAGCCATAGATGCATAGGATGAGAATCCAAACCAAGAGAAACAGAATGAAAATTATAAATAAATAACAATCTTACATATATTCATAAAACCTGAATACTGATAGTGAAGAGACTAAAATTTTAAGTATTTTTACTCTCATAGTTTAATTTCATATTTACAAAATAATGTTTTTTGTTATCAAAATACTATGCTACAAAAGGCTCATTCTGATGAGATTCTTGTTACATAAACTTTTGCTACATAAATCCTGTTACATAAACAGGATTTAGGACATTTTGGGAATGATAATAATAGCTGACACTTACTGACTGTCCTCTATAACAGGCAGAGAGTTGGTTACTGTGTTGCCGCTTTTTTCCTTGTAAGAACCCAGTGATGGGCCTTATTATCCCTGCTTTACAGATAAATCAGTGAAATTCAGAGAGCTAACACAGCCAATAGGCAACAACACTTGGATTCCATGGTCTGATTACAAAAACATACAGTTTTCTACTGTACTAGATTAGATGCAAAGTAGAAGAAATATTTCCATCAAAAATTAACTTTAGAAAACAATATTTATAAGTAGTTGCTTTTAAACCATTTATGCCTGAGGTTGCAATTTTTTGAATTTTTGTAATCAGACGTTGGCAATGACCTTGAGCAGTAGGATATAAATAACTCCCACATGCTTAGCATTCCAATAATGGAACACTAGACATAAATGGGTTTAATATATACATATTTTTAATATATACATATATTTGTAAATATAAACAATATTTATATGGAGCTGATTTATATATATACATGAATAATTATATGTGTATATATTATACATATTATGTATTATTATACATATATACATAAATATGTGGTATTCAGTTATCTCCAATTCAGATATAGATGGAATTTGGTATATTAACTTTATACACTTGTTCAAGCATTTAAAACTAAAGTGTCCATCTTGATATATAACTTTTTGAAACATTTTTAATAAGGCACCCAAAAAGGGGCTATGTCCAAGAAATGAACAGCCACTGCAGAGATGAATGAAGAGAAGGATGGATAGACAGGTGGGAAAATGGATGAGCGGGAGTAGAGGAGTCTAATAAGTATTGGTAAGTATATACAATGTGCTATAGATAAATCAAAGCTAATAATACACTACTAAAATATCTTGATGAACTAGTAAGATCTTTAGTTTGATATCTGTGATAACAACACTGGAAAGGATACTACCTTAATAGTAGAAACCTTGACAAGTGTGCAATATGTGATGAGTTAACCATATTCTATAGGCATTAATTTATGTTTGCCAAGCAAAGTTAGTATAAATTTAATGATCTTTGCCATGATATAGAAATTCATTTCATTTGAGTTTTCAAGGTACCATAAATAATCAGTTGAAAAGATAATGTTTTAGAATAAGCTACAGATTATTTTATACACATTATAAAATGTGTCCTCTCATTAAACTTTCTGGAACAACCAGTTGTTAAGCACAAAGAAAGCACAGTGTGACCAAACCAGCACTAACCTAGGACTAGAAGACTGGGGTCTTGTCTGTTTTTCATATCTAAGTAGGTGCATTAGTTGACCAAGTGATTCAGCCTCTCTGGGCCTCATTTTCTCATTTGGAAAATGAGAGTAGAATAGATGATCTCTATGTTAGCCTCTAGTTTGAAATTTCTGTTATAATACAAATTAGACATAGGATTATAGAAATATATACAAAGTAGTCTCTTAACCTAGACACAAGACAAAGCTATAGCCACAACTCACAGATGAATTGATAATATTCAATTGTTTATTATATATTATAAACTATAAATCAGACTAACCAAAATTAACACTCTGTTTTTCACAAAACCTGTGTTCATCTCTAATCCTAGATTAATTAGAAAAGTGTCCAACTCTCAGGGAATACTGGCCATTAACCTTTAAATGCAAAGTGTTAAATTTTCTACAGGATAATTAACACACTGTATGATACATGAACCAAAAATAATTCATACATTCTAGGCCACTCAGATATGGCTGATAAAGTCTATGCAATGATACAGTTGATAAAGTCTATACAGTGGCTAAAAATTATAAATACTGAAGTGAAAAAAATCATTTCCACTCTTATTTCTATAGGACAAGATAACATAGTATGAAAAATATAGCTCCTAATACAAATAAGCAGAAGAAAAACAAAACAAAAATATTGCCACTATAAAAAGGAAGAAATGCAAAAAGTGAATGCCAAAACATTTTAATTAATGTTTTCAAAAAGGTATTGGGTTTTTAATATACAAAACATTAAGGTCATAGAAAATGGTGATAAAATAGTATGAATGTAAGAGTGCAAGTGTGAGTCATGAAAGGAAAAGAAACGTAACTGTGGCTACTTTAGGATTCAGATTGAAATGGCATGGTACCAAATAGAGTCCCAAGTTGAAATTTTGAAATGCCCCCAACAGAAATATTTCAAAGAAATTCTGGTCCCAGCCCAGTGTCCCCAGAAAGGCTTTGGCCGCAAATTTTGTTAGCCCTTCAAAGGCTCCTAGCACCACTTAGGAGTCAACACTAGAGCTGTGCTGTCCAACACGGGAGCAACCAGACATGTGTGGCTATCAAGCTCTTGAAATGTGGCCAGTACAAAATAAACAGTGCTGCCTGTAATCCCAGACTTTGGGAGGCTGAGGCAGGTGGATCGATTGAGGCCAGAGGTTCAAGACCAGCCTGGCCAACATGGTGAAACCCCATCTCTACTAAAAATACAAAAATTAGCCAAGCATGGTGGTAAACCCCTGTAGTACCAGCTACTCAGGAGGTTAAGGCATGGGAATCACTTGAACCCAGGAGGCAAAGTCTGCAGTGAGCCGAGATCAAGCCACTACACTCCAGCCTGGGCAACAGAGCAAGACTCTGTTTCAGGAAAAATAAAAATAATTTAAAGAATAAACTGCACTGCAAGTATAAAATACACACCCAATTGTCAAAGACATAGTACAAAAAAAGTCAAATATCTCACTAATAATTTTCATATGGGCTCCATGATGAAATAATTTAGGTTAAATAAAATACATTATAAAATTTAATTTATCCTGTTTCTTTTTCCATTTTGAATGTGGCTACCAGAAAAAAAAAAATGTAGGTTACATATGTGGCTTATATTTGTGGCTCATACCATATTTCTATTTGACCATGCCAAACTAGAGAATAAGGTCAAAAAATGAATCCTATTAAAATATAATTATTAAATACTAACTTAAGGAGATGGGATACAAGAAAAGACACAATTTAAGAAAGCAAAAAAAGAGCTGTACCATATGGAAATAAATACAAATTTAAAAGATAAAATATAATATGGGAATAATCAGAAATGTAGATAGTAAGCTGTTCTTTTTAACTGCACTTTGCTAACCAGCCAATATCTAATTCAGAATCAATTTTTTCCACTTACATCATTTCCAGCCTAATTCTTTTTCTAACAATTCTCAACTCTTTCTGATTTTCAAATAACTATTTTCTTAATGAGCAATAAATGGGCCACTTCAGTGAATTATCTAAAAATATCTGTAGTAGGGCCTCCAGAAGTTCCTCAAATAAAATTCCTTCCTAACAACGACATAGAAAGGAACATTAAAAGCAACCTCATCTTAATATTACTTCACAGAGGTCACTCTGAAAAGACTCTACATTCATAAAATATTTATCAGCTAAGAAAAGTCAGCACCTTTCTGTCACTTTACTAAACATGCCATACATTTTGGAAATACTCTGCTTCCCCTAATCTATTTTTTTTAACCTGTAGTCTCGAAGTAGAAAATCAAACACTATAGAAACCTTGAAAACCTCGGCATAATCATGCAAACAACTTTACTTTCTCACAGCCTCTAAAAAAGCACAACTCAACCCAGAACTTCCACAGCTGTCACTTGCAGAAGTGTTTTTTTTTCCTCCCTTAACTTCATCAAGGGTATTTCTTTATTGAAAAAGAAAAAGATATCTTTCATGACATTACCCCATTTACCTTGCAGAATAAGAAAACTAATTTTTCAGGTCTCCAATGACAACTGAGGGACCACAGAAGTCGCCATGGGGTTGACATATAGACCTGGCTTGTTTAATGAACACTGAGAAATTAAGACATCAAGCGCATACAACCAACATAATTGGGTGGGACATCTAACAAAAGCCCTCCACTTCCTAGAGGAGGAACCACAGGGCGCCGTTTTGGAAACCCATCTCAGAGCGCCCCACCGCCTCCGCGGGGAGGTCAGACGCACCGGGCTCTCCCAGAGGGAGGCAGAAGGGAGCAAGGGCAGGACACTGGAAGTGGTGCCCAGCAACTCCGGTGCGCGCTCGCTTCCCAGGCTGGAAACCTTGGCCCAGGCTCAACCTGTCTGAGCTGGGCCAGTCCAGGCCACGCGCCTTGGAGCCCCGCGAACCAAACAGGGACAGCCGCGACCCTAGGTCAGGCGAACACCCGGGGTGCCGGATCTCCGCTTGCCAGCCATCATCCCCTAGGGTGCTTGGCTGCTGGCTCATCTGCCCGCACCATCCGCCCCGCCGACTGAGCTCCCCACAAAGCACACAGAGGCGCAGAGCCAGCGCTGTTGGAGTCTTTTATTGTGTTCTGTCACCGAGGTCGCAGCCCCGAGCCAGGTGGTTCGTTACTAGCCAAGCGAGCGATTGCGCCCGCTCTTCGGGGCTCCTGGGTGCCACCCGGAGGTGTCCTGTTGGTTGAGATGATTAGAGCCGTCGCCCCCTCTCGGGTGGCTGGTCCTCTCATTAGGCAGCAATGCAGGTGGCAGTGTGGACAGCACACCGCAGAGACAAGCTCAAGAAGACCACACAGCACTGTATGGAATGCATTAAGCAGAATACAAAAGAGCTGGACCTGAGAGCTGGGAAATGGACAAACCTCAGGAGAAAGGGGCGTTTCTCTGGAGGAGAGAAACCACCGGAGAGAGCACGAAGCGCAGGGAAAACAGAGCAAGCAATAGAAGCAAGAAAGATGTGTTTTTTCCTTTCTCGAATTTTGCATTGTCACTCGGAGAAGGGGAAGGGAGCCTTTTACCTTCTGCCTCAATGGAAGACAGGAGCAGGGCCGCGCCCAGGGCGGCAAGCACTGGGGGAAGCCTGGTCCGCATCCTCGGCCTCCGAGCTTACAGCGGCATGAAGAGCTCTGCGGGAGGAAGCAGTAACCGCATCAGAACTGGGTCTGGGCAGGCCTTGAACCAGGTTAGAACTGGAGCCTGGACCTAGTCCAGAACCCGACCAGATCTGCCTTAATAACCACAGGGCCTACTCCAGCACATAATGGGCCTATTGTGAAGCAGTGGAAGTCAAGTTCGTCTACAGAAGTTTAATCATGGCCCTAGGAGGAAGTTCAAGTTTAAAAAGGGTCCTGTTCTCCTGGAGACTGGTCCTGCTTAGCATCCCGGGTGAAGGCCTTACCAGCCCCCACATGATTTCATCCTGCCTGGGTAATGGCTAATTCAGAGGTCATTTTATCCTTCACTCAACTAAATATCTCTTCCAGCTGGGGATTTTATTTGGCTGCTTTTTCCTAGCTGCTGAACTTTTTAGGTAACTGTATTTTAGTGGTCTCACGGTAATTTGGAAAAGTATAATAAACCTTTTTAATTCTCTTTTTTCTTCATGTTGTTCTGCTTTCAAATATGCAGCTCTTTAAGATCTGAAATGGATTATACAGAAAAATGTAAGGCCCAGCTGAAACCTGACCCTCCTGCTAACTGTGTTGTTTTCACATCTGATAAATCCTTTACCTGAGATGAGGGAAAAACAACTCCAAAATACATAATAACAAAAAAGGCAGCAAAATGGAAGAAGCAAGACACTTTTGTCTGTTTTTCCAAGGTGTTTTTAAATAAAAATTATCAATAATAATCTTTGTATTTAACTGTTTGTTTAAGCTGGAAGATTATAAGTATATATGCCCCAGAGGAGAATATGTTCTGTTCTGACTTTTTCTAATTTTGTAATTACATTATTAATTCCTTAAAGACAAAGAATCTTATTCATCTCTGTGGTTTCCCAGGACACAGTAGGTACTTAACCCATGTCTACAGAACGGAATCTCCTAAAATAGTCTAAGGTTCAACCCAAAGACAAAAGCTACTAGCAAGGAACTGAACTGGGAAGCTGCCAGTGGCAAAACATAAAGAGTTGAGTCTGAGGTACATAAATTATTGTAAACCAACAGCCTAGGCCTCAGGAAAAATGGAGGGGGATAGGAGACTGTCCTGCAGTGGGAATACAAAAATGAGCCAAAGGTCGAGGTCTCTTTGAGAAAAGAAACTGACAATCTCCAACGATGACTTTCCAAATTATTGGCACAAAGCATGAGGGCAGCTTTCCTCAGCCCGTGTGTAAATTGCATTTTAAATGTCTGATGAGCAGGCGTGCCAAATTGCCTAGAGCTCCTTTTTATGAAGCCAAGATTAAAATTTGGGCACTGCCCTAGGTATCTAAGGGGTCTAGCAATTTCTTTCTTCCTAATTAACAACTGTTTGACATTTCTAACCCTCTTCGACATCAGTGAAAAGCAAGAGGTGAGACTGGGCCATTGTTCCAATGTTCTGGCCTTAACTTTGGTATAATAATTTCCAACTCAGTTGGCAGTCGTGATTGCGAAAAGTTAAAGGCGAACAATCCACCCACCGAAAAGCTGTGAGCAGATTTTTTTTTTTTAACAGCTGAACTCAACAAAAATCTGAGTAGAAACACTTTTGCTGGGTCTCGATCGCCTCCTGTCGGTTTCCCGACTTAGCGGCAAGAATGAATCATCTCGCGCCGGGATACCGAAACGCAGTTAGAGCTCAGCCAGCCAGCCAAGCATCTCGTCCATATGTTTTAAAAAAGAAAATGCTTTCTCTCCTTTTTAGCCAAAACATTCATTTCAATGCTTAGCAACAATTCATTGAGCATTCTCAGACATAAATATCTGAAAGCGGCCGCCCCTACGTGGCAGCGAGGATTCCCTCACTTCACCGTCATGAATAAAAATGAGTCCATTGGGGTGGGAGTTGGGGCTAAGTGGACTCGCCCCTTCTGCCAACTCGTCCCCTCCCAATTCCGCGCTGGAAGAACCCAATTCCTTAACTCCTGCGTCAAGTTAAAAAGAAAATCTCTCTCACACACACACACACCGCTGCGCGTCGCCTACCTCCTCTCCCACCCACCACCACCTTGGCATTAGCCAAAGGAGAGCTTAGCGTTTATTTCCTTTCCTGTCCCATCCTTCCCCAGCAATCATTAGAAGACTACCGAGTCCGGATCGAGAGTCTCCCTGGCTCAGAATCCCAGGGAACCCTGAACTGGTCACTGGAGGGCTCCCGAGGACGCCCTCTTGGAGGTACCTGTTCCGCTCGGTGAACCAGTCGGGCGCCCCACGCTCTCTGATCCCCACAAGTTTAATATTTGAGTGGGAAAACGCAGCAGAGATCTCACAGACCCGGAATAGGGCCTCCACCAATGCACCGGGAGGGAGTCAGAGAGGGGCTTTCTCCTGGAGCTGGGGAAAGTCCGCCAAGAATGAGTACCCTAGTGCGGGCCTAACCCTCCATCTCGGATGCGCTGAAAGGTAGGGGAGGAAAGGAGCCAGAACACTCCACTTCGAATCTGTCTCGAGATGCCACACACACTCGTGCAGCCTCGACGAGCTGCAGAGCACTCAGCGGGCCCTCCAAAGAATTCCGCACCGTGCGTCATCAAAATACCTTCCCAACGGCCCCCCCCCCCCCCCCGCAAGCCTGCCCTCCCCGACAAAGCCACAGCCGCGAGATAACCAGGGCCCTGCCGCCCCAGGACCCGGTGCGCCCTCCATTGAAATCGACAGCATCCACAGATGAAACTCCTCTAGAAACGGAAACACTGAACGGGATGCTTTGCGCGCACAAAACCGTGCTCAGCTCTTAAGAAAAGCAACATTCCCCTCTCCCTCAAAAACCCCCCCAAAATCACAAAATCCCAGTATACAAGGCGAAGCTCAAGCCCATGTACACTATTACAAGTCCAAACTGTCCTCGCCCAGGATTCTTCACAGCTCCAGGCAAGGTGCAAGCTAGACGCCGTTTTCCGAGTTGTCTGTAGGAATGATGGGGTAGGGGAAAGGGGACAGAAACCAGGCTGACCTGAGACGGCGGCGACAGGGTGAGGTAGAGGCGGCGACGGCGGCTTCCTGGCGTCGGAGAAGCTGGTGCTCGGTGTGGCCCCCACACGCCCCGGCGATAGGCGCTGCGCTCCAGGAGCACCTAGCGGCCGCCGAGGCGTGGGCAGCGGCGGGGAAGTCCAGTAGGAGGAGGAGAATCCCAGGAGGAGAGGCGGGCGCTGCAGGACGAGTGGAGATCGCCTGAGCCTGCAGCTGCCGGCGCGCGGACGCGTCTGGGGCGGTTCGCCTTCGCCAAGTGGGAAGAGACTCTGCGCCGCGGGCTACTTAATAGAGGGCTGTTCCCAGCTCTCAGTTTACTCGGTTACGAAACGCCTGAGAAGGTGGACGGCTGCCACGGGGTGATGTATGCTCCTCCGGCGGTGAAGGAGGTCTACTTTTGGGAACGTGTGCATACTTTGAGCATTCCTTCGGCGTGAGGTGGCGATCGCCGTAGTAGCAGTACCCTGCCGGGGGGCGGGGAGAAGGGAGGGAGCAGAGAGGGGGACAGCCGCAACCGGGTTCCCTGCCAAGGGAAGCCGCGTACTCTGCCACTTGGGGCGGACTGGGAAGCTCGGGTTTCCCTATCCCTGCGATTTCTTTAATGAATTTTTCTAAATTAAGAACAATGGGAAGGGGAGCGGCTCCCATTTTCAGAAATGCAAGGATGCGTAACCCATTCACCCCCGCTCCTGCCGATCTCCATCCTTCATCATCACCACCTCCACCTTCCTCCCCCTCTGTCCTGGGTGCACTTAAAACCGATTTACAGGATTTCCATTAACTAACTGTCTGTACACGCGGCGCGCCTTCTGTCTTTTTCAATCTCCGAGCGCGATTGGAAACCCGGACAGCCGCCCGCGCGGGGCTCAGTGATGGGATGGCTTTCCCAGTCCTCTTTCACTCGCCTGGTGCTTCAGGACGGAACTGAGAGGCTTACGTTGAGCCAAAAGAGAGGGAGAGGAAAGCTATGAAACCCAGGGGTCCTCAGAATAGGAAGCCGCTCAGTAACAAGTTCCATCCACTGCAGAAACTTCTCACCCGGACCAGAGCGAAACCTGGCCCCGAGCGGAGGCTTCGGACTGAAAGCTCTGCCCTTAAAACCTCGCGGGGTCAAAGGGGCGAAGAGGAGTAAGTTTGAAACCCCAAAGCACCCCTCCACACACAATACTGGAGAAGCCAAATAGGCGGCTGATATTCTGCCAACACCGTCGCCTCTTCTTAACAGCCTCCTCCATCCTGGCATCGTACCCCTTGTTCCTGGGCAGGAGTCTGGTACTAGGGTTGCCAGTTTGTACAAGGCGCACGGGAGGAAGCTTCAAGCACTCACACCAAGAAATCAGAAAAATGCTACTGGAGAGATTCCTATTATAACGTCTGACCTCAGTACAGGCCCTGCACCGTTTTGGCCTCTTGAAGCCCAAGGGTTACTCCCGTGGCTGGTGGGGAGAGGGGGTTGGGGGAGCTTTGAACAACAAAGGAACGGGGTGGGGCGCAAGGGAACAGGGGAGCTGCTTCTCTGGAACTGACCGCCCGCCATAGTAGAATCCGAGGGCATGGCCCCAATGTAAACCTCTCTTCCCTTTTGGCTCTGACGTCTGCAAATTTGGCCTTCCCACTCCACTGGGTGCAATAGCCTCCAAACTTGCCTTTCGAATGATAAGAACTTGTAGGGAGCTCCCCTTTCTGCACATCTCCCCACACACAGGCTGCCCTCCGCAGGAGCCGGCGAAAGCAACAGAGAAGACAAGAGGGAGACAATGAAGACAAATAGGAATCGCCGCCACTGCACATTCCCCAAGCACACAGCCCACTCGAAGTCCAGCTGGGCAGCTCGCACAAAGAGCCTACACAGTGCACAAGCTTTTCCCCCTTCAAAGCCTCACAACCAGGATGTGTGACAAACCCCTAGTGCGTGAGCGCGTCCCAGGGAGGGAACACCCGACTTTCTCAACGCTGCGCCCAGTCAGGCTTGCAGCCACATTGCCCTGGTATCACTGAGCCCCGAATTTGTCGACAGCCGGCGTCTGCACCCAAGTTAGCCCTTCACTAGCCTCCCCACCCAACACGCAAAGAGCAGGGAGCCCAGTCCAACCAGGCTTACAGACCGCGCGTGGACTAGTGGCAGCCGCAAAGACGGAGCCCGGGAGCAGAGAAGTCCCTCAGGCCGCCAAGCGGGCACCCAGTAGGACTGCGCCCTTGGCCTGCTCCGCGGCCTAAAACCGCCAGGGAAGCCCCCCAGACAACGACACCCCGTCCAGAAAGGAAAAAGGAAAACTGCTACTTTGCACGCCAGCCCAAGCTGGCTGGTGTTTGCATTTTGGCCCAGATGTTTGTTCTCTCTCTCTCTCTCTCTCTCTCTCTCTCTCTCTGTGTGTGTGTGTGTGTGTGTGTGTGTGAGAGAGAGAGAGAGAGAGAGAGAGATGGCGGTGTTGTTGACTGAGGAGCATGTAACTCTGAATGTTGATTTTTTGTTGTTTAAAAGGCAACTTTTGTTGATTTGGCTCCGAGCTGCTAATGCATCTCTCAACCCCGGAGTTGCGCAGTCACCCTCCGGGGATCCAAATACAGTCACGGGCTTCCCTTTCCTGCAGCTGGAGGCCGCAGACTGGGTGGAAAAGGCATCTGTCCCCGAGGGCGCGCACATTGCCCTCTCCAGCCAAGAGCAGCTTACTGAGGACCCGCGTGGGCATCTTCTCTTGCTCGAGGCATTCTTGTTCACATACTTGGATTTAACCTATCTGAAAATAGTTGCTGCAAAGGAGTGTAGGCAACACAAACCACCACCTGCAAACGTCCTCTCTAGCTCAACAAAAAGGATCCTTACGCAAAACTTCCAGAGTAGGATGAGAGGAACAGGAAGGAGAGGACTCTCGGGTTGGGGACCACACAGATTCCTCCAGAAACTAATTCAAATACACTCATTCCCCAGGGACACGAGTGCAATTCAAATATGTACAAAGAGGCACTCCGGGGTCCTCCCCGCGTGACGTTGGCGTGTTGGTCCCCTGGGGCCTTTACGCTAGACTCCCAGTATGATAAACGGTAAGGAATGGGTAACTCTCTTCCATCCTTCCCCTTTCAATGGTGCATCCAGATCCTAATACCCTTTGGAATCCGTTGGTGATATTTATTGACTGGGGAATAGCCGGTTGGATTTATTCCGTTTGGTTGCTCTCTGTGGCTTTTATTCCTCTGGCGATATCACGGGATCTGCCTCCTTCGCGCTTCCTCTGTTCAGCTCCCACCTCTTCACCCTCTGAGTCCTGGGCTCCCGGCGGTTCCGACACTCAGATTTCTTGTCCGACAGCGCGATCTAGTGGTCAGCGCTAACCCTGGCGTGGGAGGTTAAAGTTACAGAGAGCGTGGAGCTGGGAAGTTGTTGACAGGCTTACAAGTCTTGGGTGAGTTTTTATAAAAAGTCTCATTCATATATTTGATTCTCAGGACTGAGAGGCGGCAGGTTGGGAGAACGAGTGGGGAGAGGGGCATCAACTTTCTTCATGCTGTTTAATTAACTGCCTACAGAAATTCTTGCCCCAAGGCTTCTAAGCTCTGCTCAAGTTTCTTCAAAGAAAGGGTGAGTTTACAAGGGAAGAGATACTGATTTCAGGAAGAAGTTAATATTACAGAGCGCCCTTAACTTCTGTAATCTTAGCTTCTTCAAAAGGCACTGGGGGCCTCTTCACTGATTTGTTTGAGGTCAACCTAGCCGGCATTCCTGGCAACAGGTGAGACAGTTTCTAGAACACTTCCGTTGCAGGTTCTGGCTGATTTGTGCAGAAGGAAGGGGAAACCTCGTCTGAACGTGAACTGTTTGCCTATCTCTTAAGGCTGGCCCCAGCGTGAGTTGTGAGGGTCTTGAGTGAAGAAAGCTCTCACAAGCCCCTTGGAATAAAAGGGTGAGGAGAGGAGGTAGTACACCACCTGCTCTGATTCTCAGAAGCAGAGAGACAGCCTGACCAGCAAGAGTCAAAAACTGTGTGTCTGAATCCTCTTCTTTCCATCCCTGTGTGCAAGTCAGATCAACATACATTTAATGAGCACCATCTATTTACAGTGCCAAGCTCAGAGCAGCTGACACAAAGACAAGTAAGACAAGGTCTTGCCATCAAAACTCTGTCAAGTAACAGCTGGGACACCTGAAGCAACTTCATGTATGTGGCCTATTTAAATCTCCCAAGATCGTGGGCTCAGAATGTTGTAACATTAAAAATGAGAAGCCATAGACAACCACTCTCTCTGCACTAGCAAAGCTTAGGAATCCTGAGACCAAACCATCCTGAAAGGAAGGAAGGGGACGTGCTGCATTCTTGCCTCTTTGACAAGTTCTGCTTCTTTACAAAGGACTTTGCAAGTACTTCACCCAGACCATCTCACCTGTACTGAAATAACCTCCCCTACTAGCGAATGAGCAACTTTGGAGCAGAAAGCAGAAACTGCATCATATTTCGCTTACTATGGAAAGTGGTAGCTCAAACCTCATATGACCTCAAAAAAGTATAATTGCTTCAACCTAAAAAAGCTGATTGTAAACAAAAAATAAAGCTGTGATTGCACAGGAAACTATGACATTTCAAAAAACACTGTATCCACATAAAATAACATCTCAGCATAAATCATTTAGATTTAACAAGAGTCAAGTGCCACTGGGAGTTGATTTTCCAGTTAGCTCTGACCTCCTTGAGCAAAAAGTAGAAGATAAAAGGAAATTAATTAATTTAAGAGCTAAGAAAACAAACCACTGCCACTTCTTCCTTTGTTTCCGTAAAATTCAGTACTGTTTAAATCACACCACTACAGGCATCTTGCAATCTATTTGCTTTGAAACTATCAAAGTAGCATAAGGTGGAGAATTTCTAGTCAGGCCACTGTTCTGTGTGTCAGCAGTCAGTATGTGTATACTTAAATACACTTTCAGACTGATGGAAAATATGAAGAATCACAGGAATCCATTTTTCAAGATTTGGTCTTGGCTTTTAAACTAATTACCTAGTCGATTGAAATGCGATAATAATGAAATCATAGTCAGAAGATGTTTATTTACTCTCAGTAGGAGCCCCTGTGTAGGGTGACATGTAACCTGACCAGGTCTCCATGTGATAACTCGTTTTTGTTTTGTTTTGTTTTGTTTTGTTTTGTTTTGTTTTTCTGAGACGGAGTCTGGCTCTGTTGCTCAGACTGGAATGCAGTGTCGCGATTTCAGCGCACTGCAACCTCTGCCTCCCAGGTTCAAGCAATGCTCATGCCTCATCCTCCTGAGTATCTGGGATTACAGGTGCGTGCCATCATGCCTGGCTAATTTTTGTATTTTTAGTAGAGAGGGAGTTTCACCATGTTTGCCACCATGTTTGGTCTGGAACTCCTGACCTCCAGTGATCCGCCTGCCTCGGCCTCCCAAAGTGCTGGGATTAAAAGTGTGAGCCACCGTACCCGGCCTGATAACTCA